TTAGAAATAAAAAGCTTTTTTTTTTTTTTTTTTTTTTTTTTTTTTTTTTTTTTTTTTTTTTTTTTTCCCCCCTCCTTATTTCAAAAGACAGCTTTAAAGTGACCTTAAAAGTCCACTCACTTATAGTAAGATTTAGTTGGATCATGACACACAAGACAGGGTTCAAAACTGGAAGGGGGTCTTCAATTTTAATGCCATTTAATAATTGACACTGCCTTAATATGAAAGCCGAATTAATATTGTCTGCCTTTAGAGTATTTTCCTTGCCTTGTGCCTCATTTTAATTCACTTATTCCCCAGATCTTGTTCATCTCATTTAAAAAGAGGCTGTGAATTCTAAAGTAAAGTTACTGTATTTCTTACTTTTCCTCATCTGCCTCCTCTGCACTGCATCAGTGTGCTACTGTTGCTACTGTTCCAACATGATTGCGTAGCTCTCCAGAGTACTGGAATAGAGAAATAGAGTGAGAAATTGAAAACCGTTTGTTAGAAAAGACTTGTAAGGCTGGCCGGGCGCGGTGGCTCAAGCCTGTAATCCCAGCACTTTGGGAGGCCGAGACGGGCGGATCACAAGGTCAGGAGCTCTAGACCATCCTGGCTAACACGGTGAAACCCCGTCTCTACTAAAAAAAAAAAAATTGAGGCCGGGCGCGGTGGCTCAAGCCTGTAATCCCAGCACTTTGGGAGGCCGAGACGGGCGGATCACGAGGTCAGGAGCTCGAGACCATCCTGGCTAACAAGGTGAAACCCCGTCTCTACTAAAAATACAAAAAAATTAGCCGAGCGTGGTGGTGGGCACCTGTATTCCCAGCTACTCAGGAGGCTGAGGCAGGAGAATGGCATGAACCCGGGAGGCGGAGCTTGGAGTGAGCGGGAGATCACGCCATTGCACTCCAGCCTGGGCAACAAGAGTGGAACTCCATCTCAAAAAAAAAAAAAAAAAGAAAGAAAGAAAAGAAAAGTAAAGACTTGTAAGGCTACATCACAGAAGCTCTATTTCCTATAGTTGAGTTAGTTGATAATGGGTGGTGATTTTAGTCCTGAACTGGACGGGGAGCAGGGGAATAAAAATGTAATGTTGATTCTGTGGGCTGATTTGAATAGGTTTGTACTGATCTTTTTTGCCATTTTACACAGAGCAGTTGTTGCTTCCTAGAAAAATGTTGTTGAACAAATAAGGTGAATATAAACTAGATTAATGTATTAGGATGGAGTAACTGCCAATAAAATGGCAGTTTTTTAACTTTGGTTTCACTGAGTAGTCTTCTGGGCTAAACAGTTTTGTTTGTTTTAAACAATACTAAGAAGCCATTTACATATATGCTTAAAATAGGTTTTTTTCCTATTTCAAATACAAAAAAATTATATTTTTCTTAAAACAAATGAAATTATGGCTTTTACAACTTCATTATGAGCAGATGATCTTTGACCAGTGTCCTTTATTTGGTACCTTGAAATGAATTTTGAATATGACTTTCTAATAGGTTTTGTAGTCTGTATTCAAGCATGGCTGTATTTCTTGATATCTCAGAATAATTTATACATAGATAATTTCTTTTTTGTTTCATTTTTTTTGAGACAAAGTCTCACTCTGTGGCCCAGGCTGGAGTGCAGTGACATGATCTTGGCTCACTGCAACCTCTGCCTCCCGGGCTCAAGTGATTCTCCTGCCTCAGCCTCCCAAGTAGCTGGGATTACAGGCTGACACCACTTTGCCCAAGTAGTTTTCTATTTTTAGTAGAGACGGGGTTTCACCATGTTGATCAGGCTGGTCTCAAACTCCTGACCTCAGGTGATCCACCCACCTTGGCCTCTCAAAGTGCTGGGATTATAGGCGTGAGCCACCACACCTAGCCTAATTATTAACTCATGAATAGTAGCCTTAAGAGAAAACGATTTAAGTTTTACTTTATATTGAAGAAGACAGCATTTAAAAAAATCTCAATATTTTCCTTTCTTTCCTTAATGCTTTTTAATTTCCATTTTCATTTTTCTAGGGTGACATACCTTCTGTTGAATACCTTTTACAAAATGGAAGTGATCCAAATGTTAAAGACCATGCTGGATGGACACCATTGGTAGTTGTCTGGTTTTTATTCTCATTCTTTTTATGTTTTACAGTTATTATAGTTTATAGTTACGTAGTTGTCTATATATCATCCTCTGCCACATACCCTCTTTTTAGTGTGAAGAATTTATGTTTTCATCAAGTATGAGGACATGATTATTTTCCTTCTAGCTTTTCATTTGTGACAGGCAAGAAATTGGTTACCTTTTGACATACTACCTTTAGATTTAGGAATCCACTTGTAATATATTGCAGAATTTAGCTAATGTCTGGAGGTAACAGCTACAGCTGACATCAGGCTCCATTCTGTAGCACTGCATGTTACTGGAACCAAATTTCTTGGAACAAAAAGAGGTCAGAGGAACTGAGTATAGGAAAGTGATCACAAGGAAGTGATTCTTACTGAGGGTCCTTCTTAGCCTCAGTTATACCCTATCCAATTGTAGATATATAAGGCAGTAGAAATCTTTGCTTATACTAAACATTTTTAAAAAGTCTTTACTTATTATTACTAAAAATAAAAATGTGAAGCATAGTCTGGAAACAGAATGACACAAATACTTGGAAACAATTGCTATGTAGGCCAATTACTTTAGGGCAATAAACATGAGCTTTGAATGCAGCCACAGAAGTGTCAGCAAATGAAGTAGATGCCTTCATCCTGTAAACTAGAGATTCAGCCCAGAAATTAGGAGACTCAATAGGCTAGGTGCAAAAAAGCTGGGAGGGTTTAGTCTGGATCAGTCACTTTGCTGACTGGACTCTACTGGCTGGCTAACCTTTTCAAAGAAAGGTTAATTTTATTTTTTCTTCAAAGCCACTAAGGCAAGTTGTAGTCAAGATTGGTTAGTGATTTAGAGAGTTTAGTGCCTAATTTGGATTCCTTTCTCCTAAAAATAGACCTACAGATGTTGAGTGTGTTATCACTTATTATGAATTGAAATAGATGTACTTAAAAAGTATAGAATACCAGAGATTTGTTAGAATATAGCATTGTTTGTAGTTCATTAGACATAAGGAAAGATTTAGATCTAAGGCGTCTTTGAACACTCCATTGTTGCCACTTCTGTCATTCAGCAAGCTCTTTTTGTATTCCTACTCGTGTTGTTTCTCTTATCAATAACAGCAGCCATACAGCAATCTGTAGCTTCAGCAAATAGCTTGTCTTAAAACCCTCCTTCACGGATACTTACTTTGTTGCACGATATGTGTATGTACTGGTACAAATTTTATATATCATCTTGTTATTAAATATGTAGTCTTTATTTCTTAATGTTTTACATTTATTGTAGAACATTTAAGGAGCTACCATTGGTTTAAAACTACATTTTCTTCTTAAAAAAAAAAAAAAAAAGTGCTTGACCTGAGGCTCAAATGAGAATAGCCTTTTCTTTTTTCATGAATTACACAGATCTTGATCGAGATTATTAATAGTAACTTTCACTCTGTCAACAACTTAGTCTTTTTGAGTATTTAGGTAACAGTAAATTTGCTGCCTGACGTTTACATTTATTTTTCTAAAGTGTGGTATTATAATATCATCCATTGCTCTTTCTTATCACTTCTTTCACTTCTTTTTCAAAAAATTTAATTAGCATGAAGCTTGCAGTCATGGGCACCTGAAGGTAGTGGAATTATTGCTCCAGCATAAGGCATTGGTAAACACCACTGGGTATCAAAATGACTCACCACTTCACGATGCAGCCAAGAATGGGCACATGGATATAGTCAAGCTGTTACTTTCCTATGGAGCCTCCAGAAATGCTGTGTAAGTAGTTCAACTTAAAAATTATTTTTAAAATCGATCTGTATTCTTGAATCAAGGTATGTGATAAAGCAGAGACTTTAATACTCAAGTTGATGGCTTTCTTCACTTTCACAACTAAAATTAGATGTGATCATCAAATTCTGCATTTGTAATCGGCATTCATGCCCTTCCTCTTTATGATACAGTTGGTCCTTCATATTCTTGGGTTCCACACTTGAGGATTCAGCCAACCGCAGATCAAAAATAATTGGGAAATATCAATGACAGATCGGATAAAGAAAATGTGGTACCTATATACCATGGAATACTATGCAGCCACAAAAAAAGAATGAGATCATGTCTTTTGTGGGCACATGGATGGAGCTGGAGGCCATTATCCTTAGTAAACTAACGCATGAACAGAAAACCAAGTACTGCGTGTTCTCACTTATAAGTGAGAGCTAAATGATGAGAATTCATGAACACAAAGAAGGGAACAACAGACACCAGGGTCTACTTGAGTGTGGAGGGTGGGAGGAGGGAGAGGAGCAGAAAAAATAACTATTAGGTACTAGGCTCAATACATAGGTGGTGAAATAATCTGTACGACACACACCTGTTACACAAGTTTACCTATATAACAAATCTTCACAACTTAAATAGAGACCTAAAAGAAAATAAAAGTTAAAAAAAAGAGGGGGGGAAAAGACAGTAAAGAATAACAATACAGTGATAAGTAATATAGGTAAAACAATATAGTATAAATATTTATACAGCATTTCATACTATTAGGTATTACAAGTAATCTGGAGATGATTTAAAGTATACAGGAGGATGTGTGTAGTTTACAAGTAAATACTGTGCCATGTTTTACAAGAGACTTGAGCAGCTGCACATTCTGACATCATCGGGATCGAGGAACCAATTCCCCATAGATACCAACGGGGATAACTGGCATATTTAGGGGAGATTTATTTTCTTAATTCAGGGAAAATTGTCCATTTTGGAAGCCTTCACTTAATGGAAAAATTTACTTAGTGTTTATATTCTGTAGATTGATTTACACTTTCATAAGCAATTGTTGTAGAAATAATTATTTTGTATGCTTCCTAATAGTTTGGAATTATTTTAAATATTTCATTCCCATTTTATTTTTTCTGCATATTTACTATAACGACAGGTAAAGCATGTAAGAATTTAAATATTGGGCCAGTGCAGTTGAATTACTTCTTAGATTTTTCACATCATTCACATGAGGTTCTAGGTAAACTTTTTGCAATATCAGGACACAGAGATGCATTAGTGAATGCCAGCAGCTGGATTTTAAAATTGGTATTGTCAAGTGTGTCACAAGTAAATGCTGTATGTAGATTTTGTATCTTTAATCTGTAACTTGGTTCATGTCTCCCTATGTATTATTTTATTCTTTTCAGTTAATTAAGTAGTCAAAATGAAAATGCAGGTATTGCCTCTCTGCCCTTGTTGCTTCTATAGGTTTGAAAAGAGCACACAAAAATTAAGTTTCCAATGGTAACAGATGCAAATAAGAATTATAAAATGCAGAGCCTCTAGGTTGTAATTTTTTATTGGTAACTATTTAACATAATTGAAAACCAAATTAATAATGCAATAATGCAAACCATACCTTGATGCTGTTTCAGTAAATGTGTCTAATCTCTTTTATCTCTCATAACAGGTTATAAGATAATTGGGGCAAATTCAGGGGATGTGTGTGTGTGTGTATGTATATATATGTATATACATCCCCTGAATTTGAATTCATATTTGAACATACATATATATATATTTTTTTCTTCTGGTTGGGGTGTGTGTGTGTGTGTGTGTGTGTCTGTGTGTCTGTGTCTCCATATACATAGACCTAACAGAGATAACTATTTCTTTGTAAGGACCTAACCGATATGACTCTCCCGTATGTGTTGCAAGCTATTTGGTAAAGCAAATTATTGCTTGGGTCAGGTGAAACTGACTAGTTTTCATTCTAGGGTGCTTAAATCAGCCATGACTACTTTAATGAATAGAGCCCTGGTCAGGGCATTAGGGAATCTAGCTTTTATTTGTGACTCCATTATTGACTTTATAGCTTCAGGCAGGTTAACTTCTGTGCCTTGGTGTCCTCACCTATAAAACATGGGTGATGCCTGCTGCGTTTCTATTTCTTCAGAGCATAGTGAGGATTAATGAGCCAAAACACAGAGCCTCTCTTGTGGTTTGTACACCATGATTCGTCACTGCACTGTGAGGGCTTATTAATATACAAGGAGTGGCAGACAGTGAGTCTGCCTTTACAGGTGCCTTCAGTGTTGTTTTAAGTAGGACTACCTAGTAAAGTGGCAACTTTAGGTATATCTATACCTCAGCACTGTCCAATAGACCTTTCTGTGGTGATGGAAATGTTTATGCTAGACATTCAATAGCGACTAGCCACCTCTACTGTTGAACACTTGAAAATTAGCTGTTGCTACTGAGGAATACATTTTAAAATGGATTTTATTTTAACCACATGTGCCAGGGACTACTGTGTTGGACAGCTGGTTGATACAGCTGGATAGTTGGGAAGTAGGGTTTATTTCACACAAGACGTTGGGATTGATATTGGATAAAGGATAGTAGGGCAGATGAAAGCATAGATTTAATTCTGGGGTACAAGAGTGTGGTAGCTGTTTCTAAAAATTTCCTTTCCAGACTATTGGTCTTCATACTTAAGTATTTTCCTGTGTTTTTTGCCTTTTAAAAAAGGTTGTAGTCATTGTTCATCTGATTGGCTTTACAAATTTCTTAACTGTTCTCCTCCTTTTCATATTACTTTTCTTTAATTCTCTTTCCATACTGCAGCCAGAGTGCCTTCAGAAAAACATGAGTCTGGCCAGATCATTTATTTGCTTAAAACCCTTCCATGGCTTCCTCTTAATGTTTTTTAAAATAAAGGTTAAACCCCAAAATATGGTTTATAAGACCCTGGATGGTCTGGTGCTACTTTCCTCTCTGTTCTCATCATTCTTTCCACAGCTTCTCCTTTCCCCCTTTCCTTCAAGCATTTTTTGCACCAGCTTTTCTGAATTTTTGTTTCCTTAAAATATTTAGGATCTTTTATCTCCTAGCCTTTGTACATGCCTTTGCATTGTCTAGAATATTTGTTTTTGGTAGCCAGTTTCTCATTTGAGTTTCGCTTGGGTTATCCTGTCCTTTTGGCTGCCTTTTCCTGATGTGGTGCTTCTCCCCAGTCACAGGACTTACTGTTTCCTACCTTCTCATGAGGCTGTAAACTGTATGGGCCAGGGATCACATCTGCCCTTCCTAGCTCTGCCAAGTGCCTAATGTAGTCTATATCCACATTTGTTTGTAGAGTGAATTCGTGTTTGAATGAATGAAGATTTTGGTATACTTTTTCCTGTTTTTTGATAAAAGGTCAGATGACATGAAAATGGGAATTGCGTCCTTCTGCCACTACCTTTACTGTATGACAAGATGTCTAAAACCAAATTTCCCTTATCTGTGCCTTTTCTAAGGTGGTCGAACTGGTTCCTGGTAGCTTTTGCCCAACTGGCATCCATGGCATGTTACTTTGTGTGGGATTGTGGCTACCCAAAGTAATTCCTATAGCCTTGACTTTTAAGTGCATGCTTTCTCAGTGTTCTAGATACTGTCTTCTAGAATTAGGTAGTAACAGATGAGAATAGATGAAATTTATTCCTGCCCTTTCCTCCATTTCTTAAGAAGATCATGGGAAGGGGATCCGGAGCATGGAGACTATGGGATTCTTACTACTATTTTTTCTTCCTGAAGCTCTTATTCTTCATAAGCCATTAACAGCTCAGATTCTGAATCTGAGTTGGCAAACAAACTTTTTCTTTCTCTGCTTACTATATCTCTTTTACTCTTGGTGGAACTCCTTTCTCAATAAGTAGGCCTAAACTCTTCCCACAGAAGAAGGGTAAGAACCAGCAAGGGCAAACACTGTTCTGTCTGACCCTCTTTAGGGTTTGCTACTTTGACTGATTGAAGAAGTAAAGTCCTTTTTGCTTATTGTAAATTTCTAAATGGCCTCCTTTAGCTCTAGGACAGACATTTTGGCTGTCTTCTTTATGACCTCAAGGTTGAAGTTTTCTCTTAGATGCCTTCCTCTCCTCTTAAGTCTTCTCATAGTCCCTCTGTTGCTCCTTTGCCTCATCACCTCCTCAGTGGTCTGGCTGCTTCTGTTCTAGTAGGAGTGAACAGGCTGTTAAAGCACTGATTATAGAATGGTGTGAGGCATGCCTGCATAGCACGGTGCTCACAGTAGTATGCAAGTCTCGACTAGGGCTGCAAGTAAGACCAGAGGAAGTCACAGAAGGCTTTCTGGAAGAAGAAGAACTCCGAGTTTTGAAAACGTAGAACAGGAGGATGGGCTTTTCAGAAAGACAAGATACGGGTGCTAAGGTACTCGAGGCCAGACTGCTGCTTCATTCGTTCTAGGAACTTCTGTTAGTGATGTAAGTGGAATAAAAGGATGGAGGAGGATGAGAGGCCAGAGAAGGTGGGCAGGGACTTTGAAAGGCTGTGTGTGCTAAACAGAGTGCTGATTTTAAGTTAAAAATCTCCTCCTCCACACTGGGGAGGGAACTCAGTTAAGAGGTTTGTCCAGTAATCCAGTAAAGGAGTGATGAGAGTCAAATCAAAGTAGTGACAGTAGTGGTGGGAGGGGGGTGGGATGGGGAATAGCCATATTTTTTAATTTATTCTTTCAAATGATGTTTGATTTACTTTGTACTGTTTCAAAAATACCATATTAGGATGTTTTGAAGTTGGGTAAGTACATAGATTCTAGTGGAGTACCGATTAGGATGTTGATTGAAATTGGGTAAGTGTATAGATTACAGTGGATTAGTAAAGTTGATTTTTATCAAGTGGATTGATAAACTTGATGTCGTGTGTTATTCTTTAAATGGATACATCAATTTGCTAGGTTTTTATTTAGGAATTTTGCATTTTAAAAGTTAGAGTGATTTGTGATTTTATCTTTC